AATTATAAAATAAAAATTATTTAATGAAAAAATGTTTCCAATATTGAAAAGTTATCTTCTCATTAAATAATTAATATTTTATAATCTAAAATAATTTTAATTGTAAAATACTTTTTTATAAAAGTAATTATTGCCTCGTGCAAAGAGAGAGAGAAAAAAAAAGACCAATACTTTTCTTGTGGTTAAGATTACACCAATCTAATATTGTTTTGTAGGTTATCTACAGTGGCAGAACCATGTCCTGGTTTTTCTTGATCAAGAGGCTCAGCATTTTCTTCTATCTGGCCAAGGGCACCATCATATCTCTTCGGATCATAGGCAATTTCACCAAAGGTTTCTGTTGTTGATCTTATTTACCAACCTATCATGGCCATGATTTTAAGTATTTTTAAGAGTTCACCTGTTGCTTTCCCTTCTTGTTCTTCTAAGTAGTCAACACAAGCAACCTAAGTAAGATAGATAGCTAGGCATCCCAAGTGGAGAATTGGCCAAGACTGCTTTCTGAATGGCTGCCACTGCTTTTACCATCTTGTTATTTCTTTGGTATCTACATACAAGAACACTCCACATTGATGCATGGGACATCGATCTATATTTTGCATAGGCAATTTTTTGTTTGAAGTTTCGTAACTTCTTATTTCATATCTAGAATAGTAACTCATTTTTGGTGTTTTGTATCTCTTCTAGTTCCATTTTCTTTGTTGCTTCTAGTTCCATTCTTTGTTGCTTTGTATCATGTTATTTCTCTTGTTTGGTGCGGTTTTTGTGTCTTTTTTAGAAGAGAATATTGTGTACTCTCTTTGATTTTAATGGACCTTTTTTTAATGAACTATAATTCCTATGGCTTTTACCCTTTGTTGAGGTTTTCCACATAAAAACCTTTTATCTCTTGTGGATTGTTTTTGCCTTACTCATCTTTGTTATTTGCTCTTTTTGGTTGCTACCATATTTTGGTTAAACTCAATTTAGCTTACTTTAACAATTTCATGTAGATTAGGAAAGATTTTGATATTGTTTTTGTTTTCGCTTTCTTCAGGTGACAATGCATTCTTCACAACAAAGCTTTCAAATATCCATTTGCTGCAACAACATATATATTCCAGTCTAATTTTAGGGGAGGATCAGCCTCCATCTTCCATCTTTTGCATTAGGCTGCCAAGCTTCTCATGTCTTTCGAGCTGAGCACAGAGCTTTAACATTCCATTGTAAGACAATGGCAATTTTAAAGAGAAAGACTCCCTAATCTTTTGCAGGGTGGCCCTGCCTTATGAAGCACTTATTTTGGGCATAGCATTTCAGAAAGGAAACATGAAGCTTCAATGACCTCTCTCTTTCAGGGATGCCATTAAAATACTTTTCTGCTTGTTCCAGCCCGTGAACTTTAGAGATTAGATCCAGCCGGAGTTGCAATTCCTCCAGGTGAATATGGTAGATTTTTTCATTCCATCGCTCAACCATTCTGATATCTGACATACATATAGAAAACGAAACAATGAAAACTGACAAATTAAAATCCTATTTGGTTGATAGATTCAAGAATCCCATTTCAGAATTTCCAGGAAACGAAAACTTTTTCATCCAAACATGGTTCTTATTAGTTCATAACTTCATCTATCCAGAGAGTAAATACTTTACATATTAAAAATGAATCAAAGACATATAAAAGGGCGACATAAAAAGGGTATGCATTTACCTCGAGAGCGTGCTTGAAGTTGAAGCCGCAGCAATGGGCGGAGCTGTCTGATGAACGATTCGGTCTCATTCTGCTTGACTCTTTTGCCTTCTTCGATCCATTGATGGCGCACCTACTTCCAGGCGTCAGGCTCACGATCTAAGGTCAACAAAAAAACCTTTTGTTCATCTTGTGGTTATGTTCATCACAATTGTGCCTTAACCAGCCCTAGTAGCTTAAAAATTGATGCCATTTAAACAAACAGATTTTTCTGGTCAATTGTTAATGACAATTGTGCTTTAACCCACCTTACATGCACATGAATGACTTAAATCATAAAGAATTCAGTGTTTTTATATATTAAATTGTATCAAATTACAAAATACTAATCATTAAATAAAAGAGTTAACACTAAGAAATCTTATAATAATTAATATTTATAATTTAATACAATCTAAACTTTATGCCTTTTTTGAATTGTAAAACCAACAAACCCAATACAATAAGACAACAAATTTAGCAAGTTAATTTACTTCTGTTTTACAATACTGCATTTGGCCATCGTTACTAACTTCTGAAACCAATACGCAATACTTGGTAAATTGGTACCAAAATGGGCAAAATTTGGGCACAGAGACAGAGAGGATGCAGTTCAATTATAGACAAAAACAACAAAAACCCTCCACAAATAACCCCTCCATTGTAGGAGACCATTCTAAGGATGGAATTCATCCATGGAACTATTACCATGCAACCTCCTCCCTCTTGTCTTTGAGAGTCCTCCCTTCACCCTCTCCTACAGGTACTACATCTCCTCCGTCATTGTCTTTCTCTCTTTCATAATTCATCAACAAGAAATATTATTCAATTCGTTCTTTAGGAATTGTTTAGTATCAATTTCGATTCTTTGTCATGTTTGATGTAGAGATTGTTTGTTTATTTTATGTTTCAATGGTAGCAGGGGTTTCCGGGGTCATATTAAGGAGGGGCAGAGGGGTTTTTCCGGCATCATATAGGAGAAATTAACTATAACCGGAAAACCCTGAATGGCTTCAGCTCCTACAGATTCTCCTCCTCCATCACCACCAGATTCTTCAACGCCACCCCCATCCGAATCATCGCCACCAACACCAGATCAATCATCTCCTCCTCCACCAGATTCTTCACCACCACCACCTGATAATTCGGTCCCACCACCATCTCCTCCTCCCCCTCCTCCGCTCTCTCCCAACGATGGCACTACTCCACCAGCACCGCCTGCTGATAATGGTAACAGCAACACCTCTCCACCACCTCCGCCACCACCAGTCAAAGCACCAAGTAACGGCTCTCCACCCCCACCCCGACTAGCTCCTCCCTCACAGGTAACATCATCGCCTGGCTCAAAGCCATCACCTAGTAATGACAGCGTCTCCATACCTCTGTCGACTGTAATACTTGTGGCGACCGGTGTCGGTGCGTTGTTTCTTCTCACGATATTGATAATTGCATTATGCCGTAAAAAGAAAAAGAAGCCAAAACAGTTTGATGATCAGATGCCATACTACAGGGATGCACAGCAAGGTAACAAGAACTGCTGCATTGTTCATGGTGAAACCGTACATTTTTATGTGTGTGTATATATATATATATTTATGTAGATTTTGTAGCCGAAGTTTAGATACTTGTTTGTTTTAAATGCACCGCCCAATTTGGGGTTGGGCCCTTTAATTGTCAAACTTTTAATTAATCACTGTGTGCAGGTGGTGCTGGATACTACAACAGGACATCACACGCTGGAGGTCAAAACATTTGGCAGGATTCTCCGCAAAGAGAACATGGGATCAATATTTTACCTCCGCCTCCGGGGGCAATAGGTGGGGGAACACCTGGAGGTGGAGGCTGGCAACCAACATCACCTAGCGGTACAATTGGAACAACACCTGCACATGGAGGCTGGCAACCAGTACCGGTACCATCACCAGTCGCGCCACCACTACCTTTGAGTAGCAGTAATGACATGAGCTCCTCCAATTTCTCAGGGCCATACGGTCCAGCTCTGCCTCCACCACACCCCTCTGTTGCTCTCGGATTCAACCAATGTTCATTCAGCTACGAAGAGTTAGCAGCCGCAACCCAAGGGTTCACTAACTCTAACTTACTTGGTCAGGGTGGGTTCGGTTATGTGCACAAGGGGGTATTGCCAAATGGAAAGGAAATAGCGGTCAAGAGTCTCAAATCGGGTAGCGGCCAAGGGGATAAGGAGTTTCAGGCGGAGGTTGAGATTATTAGCCGTGTCCACCACCGCCATCTTGTGGCCCTAGTTGGGTTCTGCATAGCCGGAGATAGGAAGTTGTTGGTGTATGAATTTATTCCTAACAAAACACTGGAATTTCACCTCCATGACAAGGGTCATTCCACCATGAACTGGGCAACTAGGCTAAAGATTGCTCTTGGTGCTGCTAAAGGTCTTGCTTACTTGCATGAAGATTGCCATCCTCGCATTATCCATAGAGACATCAAATCTGCCAACATTTTGATCGATAACAGCTTCGAAGCAAAGGTATTTGCACTCTCAACTCACAAACTTAGATCTCGTTAAGTGAAAAAACCTCACATTGATTGAGTTTGAAAGAACATGTTCATTTAAAATGAGATAATTTGGATCCAATTTTCAGGTGGCGGACTTTGGTTTGGCTAAGCTAACTCAAGACAACAATACTCATGTGTCAACTCGAGTTATGGGAACATTTGGGTAAGCAAAAATGCCTTAATTTTCTCTAAATTTTTATGATTTTTTAGATTTTTAATTTTTTTTCCCTAAATCTTCAAATGCAGGTACTTGGCACCAGAATATGCATCAAGTGGGAAGCTAACAGAGAAATCTGATGTTTTCTCCTTTGGTGTTGTGCTCTTAGAACTAATAACTGGACGTCGGCCTTTGGATATGTCTGGGGACATGGATGAAAGTCTAGTAGACTGGGTTTGAATCTTTAACTTTCTTCACCTACAGAAAAACCTTGGCTACCTTGATTTGTTCTTATAATTGTTTCTGCATTATTGATCAACAGGCTAGACCTTTATGTTCGCGAGCAATTGAACAAGGAATCTATGATCAATTGGCCGATCCATTCCTAGAAAAGAATTATGTCCCCCACGAGATGGCACGAATGGTACAATGTGCTGCTGCAGCCATTAGACATTCTGGCAGAAAACGTCCTAAAATGCGTCAGGTAAAATATATAAAAGAAACATAAAATCGAGAATCAATCTCACATCATAATATATATTGGATGCATTTTACAGATTGTGCGTGTATTGGAAGACAATGTCTCGTTGGATGAAATAAATGATGATGTCAGAACCGAACAGAGTTCCAGCTTCAGCTTAACGGCCGGTGGTAACGCTGATGATGACGAAGTCACATCGTATGGTGCGGACATGAAGAAGTTTAGGAAGGGGACAGTGAACAGCAATGACTACGCAAGCAGCGAGTTCGGTCACACAAGTGAATACGGGCTCAATCCATCCTCTTCAAGCAGTGAGGCTAGTGGTGGAGCTACAAGCCGCCAACTTTCTCCTTGAACCAACATAAAACTTCTAAAATACTAAGAGGGATTGTTTAACTTTGAGATGATTCCAGTTTGATGATTTTTTAGTTAAAGGGATCATTTTATTCAGGTATGTGATGGTGTCTATATGGTTTTGGTGACGGTATGCAAAATAGTTACCCTTTTTTTTTCTGCTTAATTCGTTGATGGGTTGTTGTAAAGCCTGTGGTTAAAATTGAATCTATATGTACCTATACTAATGATTACATTAAATATAAAACGATTATTTTATTATAATTTCTGGATCTTTCTTTGGTTGTTTGTGAGTATCTAGAGATAGATCCAGGATTATAGTCCGAACAGTTTTACACTGTCATACCGTACAGAAATAAACAAATTATTTGAACTCGAGTTAGTATAATTGTGATTTTCAAAATTGGAAATATTGCAAGCTTCTTCGGTTCATGCTCCAAAATATTACCAGAGGTTCTAAAAAAGTGAAACAGTTGAGGGTAAGACAAAATCCATGGTAGTATAAATCAAGCAAAGCTTGATGGATCCTATATACTTGACTCACGTTTTTCAATCGAAGAGAAACGACGAAAAATCCTTCCTATGAACCTAAATTGCAGGATACAATGATGATATTATTGCCGGATTAACATGAAAAATAGAACTCGAACGAAAGCAAACGAATTCCCAAAGGAAAAGCTAACACTGAGTCAGATGGACATGCAATTCTTTCTACAACAGGCTTGATCTGTGATCTCATCCAAAAACACTTGAAAGGGGGGCAGAATTGGGGACCGGATCTAACTATACCGACCAACTAGCCGCTTGCTACAATATCATGAATGGCTTCACTGACGGCCACATCATCGGATCTAACAGCGAGTTTCATGGCAACCTCCTTTTGTGAATCAATTCCAAATTGCAACCGAACAAGCACCTTCACGTTACCAATGTATACACCAGAGAGTAGACAAGTATGTGACCTTGAATTGCTCGGGACAACCTCGGTACCCTGAAAGCATCAGAAAAAAGTTGGAAAGGAACATCACTTATCATATAACAAGCTTGTACTTGACCTCAATTAAATATGTGAATAAAATTTGCATAAGAATGGATCTCACTCATTCACTATTTTCGTTTTTCGTGGTAATTCCTTCATCACTATTCTAATTCCCACATTTAATAGATAAAACCAACATGGTTGGCTTCTGAGACTCAACCTGAAGCACCACTGAACAAAAACTAATCGTGCAACATACTACTAAAAATAAAAAACTTACCTCACAGGGCTGCATGCCAAGAAGACTAATGACAGCATTGACAGCTTCAGTCAGGTTCTCCCTTGGGCCAAGGCCATATTCATCTACCTTCTCATCATCTGGGTCCATGCTTTCCCATGCATTCCTGAAATTAGAGACACCCACTTTGAGCACGTAATCTGCTGAAACAACCTCAAGGTCCTCAAGCTGGTACTCATCTTCTACCCCATCATCCTCGGGCTCACCCGTGCTTGGATCAACCTGGCAGAACAGATGCACAAGTCAAGAGGGTTATCATAATATTTAGCTCATGCATAAACTATTCTCCAAAAAAGTTAAAACTTTTCTCTGTTACTGCCATCCGCAGGGGGTGATACAAGGTTCTTTCTCTATACATCTATCACTCAGAACCAATTTAAAACAGAGGAAGCCTTGTAAGTTTTCAAAATTAACATTCTATTGCTGACTTTGCAAACAAACAAAAGGCTCACATTCTGCCTGCAAAATCTAAGAGAATATCCCCATACCTCCCTCACAATGAACCTCAGCATGTTTGAAAACTTCCCAACTGCAGGCACCCCCTCTGGCTTCTCAAATGCCACAAAGGTTTGCCCAGGTGAATCATAAGGAAGTGACCTTAAAGGCTTTGATGCTACTTCAGAGAATTCCTCTGCATCTGAAGCATCCACAATAACAATGACCTGGCAACAGGAAGACTGCATTATCAAGACACTGTATGGCAGGTTTGGAGTAAAGAATCACCTATTTGGATTGGGAATTACATTTTCCAGTAATTGCTCTGGAATTGTATTGGTGCAGTTGTACTGAAACACGACATGCCTATCAAAAATGTGCTTCACAACATTTACTGCGTATTCTGTTTCTGCTTCTGTCAGCTCCACAGGTGCAGAAGACTTGCCATAGAAACAACAAATTAGCAAAAATTCTAAGAAAAATCATGAGATGCAAGCAATATGAAACCAAACAGAATTAAAGTACCTTGAAAACCTTTCCAAAGTTCGAAAACTCTGGAACTGAAGAAAGCAGCCTCTCATAAGCATCAACAGTAGTGGCAGGGCCACTTGGTGGAGCACCAAGACCAGCTGGCTTTTTACCAGGGGCTTTCTTCTCCACAAGTGGCTGGGTCTTTACCTCCTTTGGTACAGAATGAATATCAAAAGGCTCTTCTGAAGGCACCTGTATTCGAGATAGACACATACGGTTGTGATATTCTGCAGAAATTGCAGCATCATAAAACTGTACAAAACTTACATAAGCTTTCAAACTTGTCTCCAGGTTCACAAGAGGGACATCAAGTGATCCAAAGAGAAACTCTTTTGCATCTTTATCAGTTTCAACAACTTCACCTTCACCACCAAGTGTATTCAGATAAAGTGTAGCCCTATCACGAACCTGCAAACAGGGTAGAATTTGGAATTTCTTATAATTGCTAAAAATTATTTGGAAGAAAGAGGAAAAGATGTTAAAATAAAAACCACACATTACATTTGAAAGTGGAGAATCAAGAAGCGAAGCCAAACAGAAAAACATACAAGTGAGTAAATGCTTAAATGAGCATGTAAAGGACAAAATAGTGACATACACAAATATAAAACATGTTTCCTAAACTAACAAGTTAGTTAAAAAACAATTAACTATAACACAACATACCTCATCATCACTGTCGTAGAGACAGCGTCTCAACAGAACAAATATGCGGGGCTGCCAAACAGGGCAGAAGATTTAGTAAGCAACGAATTTCATATTGGAAACTGATTTAGGAAAAAGAGAAAGAAGAACTTAAATTATAATACCTTCAAAGAATCAACCATGGCTCCAAATTTTGCTAATGTGCTCACAGCACTGGCTCGGACAGTTGCATTTTCAAGATGTACACGATTGTAAATGTACCGTATATATTTGCTTGGATCTGATGTCTTTGGCCCTTCAATCCCAAGGAAATGGAGGATCTAAAAGTTCAACATCAAAAATACATATATGAGATGTTAAAAGTTCGGAATAAGTAAACAATAAATACAAATAACTCAACAGAGGTGCTGTAAATTATTTTTAAAAAAAAATTAAAAAAAAAAAATGCTACCTGTGTGGAAAGATAAGTAAATTCACAATCTTCAATGAACTCGCACAAATGAAGCAATCCACCCTCCTTTGCATCAGGAATATCTCTGATGAGGATCACAATTGAATCTACAATTGCCTTTTTGTACTCAAATCCACCTTCCTCCCTAAGAATGTTGCTTAAAAAGTTCATCCTGAAATAACAATGGATAAAGATCATTCTCCAAAGTTGGCCAACAAAAAAGAACATGTACTAAAACCCAATGAACAATAATGCATGCCCAAAACAAATCACTTACAAAGATCTGTACTTCAAAGGGAATTTTAAGCATAAAGATCTTATAGCTTCCACAACAACAATTTTAAACTCATCAGCAATATCAGACATGAAATTAGTTATTTGCTTCATTAGGCGATCAACACTAGATTCATTTCCTGTCTTCAAAAGAGTAGTGATTGCGAGTGTTGCTATGCTTCTGTTTTGGTCAGAAATTAAACTCTCCATATCAATATTGCAGTTAGTGACAGCCATTGGATGAGTCATTGCAACCTGAAAGGAAATTGAAATTTCTCATCAGTGCACATTTGTGCATACTTTCATCTCCAAATAAAAGGAGAACAACCATTTACAGTTATAAACAATTAAAACTGATTACACTGTTCAGTCCAGTAACATTAAACAAATCTTTTAACAAGTTCTATATATGTTTTCACAACTCACCAAAATCAAGGAAGGAAACCACCTCAAAACATGTCCTAAGGTTCATTTGCTTACTGATTATAATTTAAATATGTAATCACATACTTAAGCATCTTAATACTTTCAAATAATGGAAAGGAAATCAGTCAACCTTGTTCAAAGTACGGACAGCAGCAAATCTCAATACTGGCTTTGAAGAACTTAAAAAGAGTTGAAGAACAGTAATTGCAGGTGTCAATTCTCGGGTTGTAACACCATTGAGCTCTGTTATTGCCCTAGCAGCCTCAAATATCACCATCTCAGCCTTGTGGCGCAGGCAGCCCTCAAGAAAATCATAGAAAGGACGGTCCCCAGTTTGAGTATTAGAGGCTGACTCACGAATCACCTGTGGATTTTAATAGTTTATTCATAACGATAATCAGAAAATAATTCGAGTGAGAGCACAAGCTTACTCATGTCTCAGGAAGAAAGAAATGTACCTGACTGGTATAACGTATCAAGAGGCACTGGGCCAAAGGTGAGCGGACACTTCCCCTGGTTAAACTAGTGACCAACTTACTAACAGCTAGTCGGTCGTTCTGCCGTATCTGGAAGTATGGGTAAAGACAAGTATTTATTAAAAAGTTACGCAAGTTCAAACAAATCTATAAAGATTAACTAAATGTAACATTTTCTGGCATAGGTGTAACTGCATAAACTATCTAAAGGTACCATCACAAATTCCCACGCAAAAAAAATTCATGTCATAATTTTCTACCATGTAATAGGTGCTACAAATTCCATTTACTTTTACTTTGTACAATTTGTATTACCATTTGATGAAGTAAGATCACTGTTCAAATTATATGTTAGAACAGCTAGATAACCAATCACATAATACTAAATGAATTTCAGAGGGAAGAACCCAAACAAGGAAAAGCTTGATAAGCTAACTATATCCAACCACCTGTTTTCAAAACAGAAGTTTTATAAACATAAAAAAGACTCCACATTGCATATTACTTCATAATCTAGCAAATTTGAATTCCGAATGCAAACTTAAACACCAATGGACCAGCAAAACCAGGAATCTAGCATACCTGATGGAGCAATGCCAAAGCATGAAACTGCACAAGGGCTGCTCTTGACTGCACAGCTTCCTGAACCTCGTTGCTCCACCTTTTCACAATCTCTGGGTTTGTCTGTTAACATGCATATTAATGGTCATGTAACATATCATCATATATATGATAAGGGATTAAGGAGGAAAAATCTTATAACTAAAAAAAAATTATATATATATATACACACACACTAAAATTACCTGCAGTAAGTGGATACCGCTGACCAGAGCTGCACTAGCAACAACAGGGTTTTTGTCAACAATAGCTTGTTTCAAATATCTCTCAATCTGGGTTAGAAGGGTTCCATCTGTTATCCGACAAAGCACACGAATAGCATTTGCCCGATACATGTCAGTCTTGCTGTTCATGTCCTTCATGAGGGAGCTTGTCACAATAATGACCTGTTTGGGAAAAAAAAAAAGTAGATCACTTAGCATGTTTACTTGCAAATGTGTGTTGGCCCCAGCAAGAAAGATGAAATAACAAGCATGAAAAAGTTGAGGCATACAACCTCATCAGCAGATGGAGATAGCTCCTTTATCATCAGATAGACCATCCTTCTTAAACCTATATCCCTTGATTGGAAAAGCTTTGTCACAGAAAAGAAAACTTCTGTGGCTTCAATCTACAAATATAATAAAGAAATAATCATTAGCAACAGTAAGTTTGATCATATAAGAAAGCTTTTGCTTTTAAAAGAAAACCATTTAAAAGGATAAGTTGTCCCAAAACTCAAAGAAAGCATAGATCTCAACCTTTATGATGGAAAAAGAAAATAAAGAATCAGGATCTGTACACCCTCAAAAGATATTAAATAGGACAGACTAACCTTAGTGAATGTCTCTCCTTGGTTCAGAAGATAAAGAAGCTTTGTGATAACCTGCAATCACCAACAAGGAAAAACATGAAAATTACAAACAAGCAGCTGCTAAACAAGAAGAAACAAACTGTAGAAATCAATAATCAGGTTGTTCAAAGCAAAAACCTGAGAGCATCTTCTTGCATCAAGCTGAGGGTCATTGAAGACCCTAGCTTCTTGAAGAACTGCACCCTTCTCTATCCCAAGAAATGGAGAGTACTCTGCCGTTCAACAACAAAAAGTACACAATCAACAGCACTAACATTGTGCAATTACTTCAAATAAACAGAATAAACAAATAGAAACACACAAAAACTGCACCAAATCAGTATATGAAACCGCATGATCCACATCAAATCAACTAAACAAGAGAATTTCCACATAAAATTGAAATCTACATTTGCGATATGCAGCTAGAGGACTACAAACTAAATGAGGAACCAATGCAACAAACCTACAGATCAGATCAAGTAAATCAGATCCAAATCCAGTAAAACTACCCCAAAATCCATCAAAAGTGTTTCCACAACTCACAAAATGCATCACTGAATCAAATGAAACGACCGAAACTGCTCAGATCTAGAAGGTAGCAACTAATCTAACATTGCCAACCTAAGATTTCGCAATTCAAAAAGAACTAGAACATCAAATCAAAGCAAGAAGACCTAAAGTGCATGAGCGAATTGGCGAAATGGATACCTTCATCGTCGCGATCGTCGTCCTTCTTCACCAGAGGCTGCGCCATCGACGATTGAGATTGCGAATCTCCGAGATCTGCTAGGAGCTATACAGAATCCTCCTGCGCGTCTGGAAATATAGAAACGATGCGGTGAAGACGAGTCTCTGTTTTCTGTATTTTCTTCTCTCGCACTGTCTCTGTGATTTTTAACGCTTTGGAAGAGGGATTGGAAGGTGCTGTGGTGGAGGAAGGGGCGATGATTGGGTGGATCACGTAACACACAGTTATCTGCAGCTGATACCTTTCCACTAATGGAAGTGCGCCACGTTATGGCTGAATTACGAATGTACCCCTCGTTGTTCTGATGTCTTGCATCAAAGAATGGGTGCACGGATTGCCTGGTGGGGCCGCATCGCTAATCTTTCTACGTCGTTTGTTCTTAATAAGAAAAAAAAAAAAAACTGATTTTTCCATTTAAATTGTTTTAAGTAGTAAAATATTAATTATTAAATAAAAGATACGATTTTTAATACTAAAAGTTTTTTATTTAAAATTTTTTATTTTATAACTTAAAATAATATGAATTAAAGAATAATTTTTTTTAATGAATTGAGAAGATTTTTTTTGGTCCTTTTATTCTTACTAGTAAAAATGTCAATTTGGTTAGAAAAAATTATAAAAATATCATTAATTCATGTATTACTGATTGATTAAAGGATTTATTTTTTATCTTTTCTTGCCAACAATGATATTTCTATTTATGCAGGTAGACTGTAAAATACTTGTCAAATTAAAATTTAGTACAAAACGTTTAGCAATGAAAACGAAAGTCCCCCCCCCCCCCCCCTTTTTTTTTTTCTAATTCATCTTATTTCATGCATGCTTCCCATTTTTAAACACATCAAAAAAAAAAAAAAAAGTGAGGGCCACAAATCCACTATACACTTCTATGTGCATATACATTTAATCCTTCTTTAACAAAATAATAAAGAACATGTTATTGATTCCAAATTTTTAAAAGGTTTGATTAGCAATGAAAAAAAGATCACTATGTTCATTCATCAAATAATTTTGTAGACCACAAAGACTCTTGCATGGGGATAGAACAGGGAAAAAACTTGTCTCCCCCTCATGCACCAAAAATTGAGTAAAATTGTACTCAGAAAAAAAATTTTTTTTTTTCTTAAAAGAATTTAATAGTAAGTCAAGATCTACATGTTGATTTCCAAATCCAACTATTTAACTGCCGATTATTGTAATTATACTTACTTAACCTTTTTATGCATTTGGGTGTGCCTGGTAAAAATTTGAATACAACCTGAAGTTGAAATGCTAAAAAAAAAGGGTGGAGGGGTGTACAGCTGGATGGTACAAAGGGAAAATAACAAAGTTTTTCATACATAATGAAGGTAAAACAAACAAATGGCATTTGTCTGCAATTTAAGTTCACAAGCAATTCTACATTCTTTTTCCTCTGCTCCCTAACCACATCAGCCTCTAACAGAAGAATTACAAGCAAGAGTTGAAGTTTATTGTTCCGCAAATCAGGTTTACATGCTTGAAATATAGAGGAATCTTGCATGAAAGTGTGATAAAGGGCTACCGCCTACAGGGAACCACATGCCTAGAAAGGAGAGGACTTGCATATAGAAGTATTTAGTTCTTTAGAGACTCAAATAACTCTTCTGTGCCCTCCAAAAGCCCAAATCTGCCATATGAAGAAACAGAATCAGATGAATAGTACATAGGCTGGGGTACATATGCAGGATTTATATATTTTTTCCTTTTCATTTGGATAATCACATTCCATTTAATGAAACAACATGGCTAAGAGTCACACACAGACCTTAAGATTTGTATCCCAGCTCCCTGTACACAAGGCACTTCCATCAGCTGACAAACCCAAACAACTGATGCGTGAGATATGTGAGTTCTGGAGAGTTCCCAAGTTCAAAACAACCTGCCAAAATGCACGCTAGTAATTAGAGCCAAGACTTTCTTAGATATCTTAGTAGGAATCTTCTACATTTCATGCATGTACATGCTTGATTGCTAATAAGGATGAGAAAACAAGAAACTGAAATATAGGGACCCCAAGCTCAGTTACTGGTAGAAAAATGTCATAAATAAAGAGAGACACAAGTTGCAAAAGGAGCTTCATTCACTCATATTTTTCTCTCTAGGAAAATGTTCTATTTAGAACAACTTTATGAAGATATAAAGAAATAATCAGGTTTCAGAAAAAACAGAGAGAGGAGGGAGAGTTTGAACAAGCTGAAGGCTATACCCTTGCCAATAAAGTATCCCATACATAGCAATCTCCATTTGAATATCCAGCAAATAGAAGTCTTCCTGATATGGAGAATGCAATGGAGGTAACATGTGGAACCTCATTATCAGCATGCTGCTGATGGTATACTTGCAATTGGTGCCCAGTTCTGATATCAAATAACCTGCATGTTCCATCATCTGAACCAGTTCCAAATCTATTGCCATCTGGAAAGAACTTCACAGTGTTAACATCTCCCTCATGGCCATGAAATGTACGAACTGCCCGACTTGCAACACGAGTATCCCACAACCGGGCAGTTGCATCACATGATCCAGACACAAACATTCTTGAGTTTGATCCATTAATGGAAACACTGAAACAACACACAATATAACATTGTAAAATAGGTGCCTGTCAAAAAAAGATTGTAAAGTAGCCTTCGCAATAAAACATTTCTCATGAACAAGTTTGTGGCTGTGGCTAATAAAGTAAAAAATCATAAACAGGTAATACAGGAAGTTAGCCTCTGATTTAAAATTGAAAATTAAAATCATATCACTATAATATTACACTGTCTTTCACATGATTAGCAAAAGAGGCATCTATCCAACAGATCACATTTACATTCATAAACTTTAAATGAAGGCAAAGTGACACAAGCTCCCCCAAGGCAATAATTTACAACCGAGAACCAGGCATTTTATTTTATTCTAATACATAATCCATAATACATAAACTGCTGACTACGAACCTTTTGGCCTATTCAGACTCCCTAATGTGAATCAATGAACTTAGGTGGCAAATTCAAGTCAAAACCTATTTCTTGACACTTAATTTTCAAAATTATCAAAGACTTGATTTGTAGATAAGCACAATTTTTACCCTATAAAAACCTAGAGAAAGAAATTTCAATGAAGAACTATTCATTCAAGACGATGATAATCCCAAGATCAAGCTGGAGACAAACTTAAGATACCTTAGCACATCAGCTGTATGTCCAGACTGAAATTCTCCTCCAAAAACAGAAGTTCTGAGACCAGTTGTAATGTCCCACAAAACACATGTCTGATCACCTGAACCAGTAATAAGATGTGTGTCCTCATCTGGAACATACTGACAGGAGGAAACATAACCCTTATGTCCAGCAAGCATTCTAGATACTGGTAAATTCCCATCTTTGTCAGTTGGTGAGTTCAAGTTGAAAAGAGAGCAAACGCTATCGAGGCCACCACAAGCAACTGATTGACCAATTGGGGAGAACGCACATGTCATAACCCAAGCACAAGGTAGCTTTATGGCATGGGTTTTTTGGCTGGTTAGTGCATTCCACACAATTAAGCGCCCATCTTGAGATGCACTAACAATCCGATTCCTTTCTGGAGTCCAATCCAATGAATAAACCTACAAATTTCTTAAAATTAAAAACCATATGGATTGCATCATTGAGACTTAGAACAATAAGCGGTTATTTATAATCAAATGAGCAGAAGTTAGGCTTTTCTAACAAAGTTAGGGATCTTGACAGTCCAGCAGATTAAAAGCTGCCAAAATGGTTTCCAAAATTTTGAAGACCAATTAAAATATAATGCAGCCCGATCAAAGTCTTTAATCATTTCTATGCAAACATTCAAATCAATTGTGAAAGGGATCCCAAAGATTGAAACCTGAATATCTTCTAGAAAATAAATGACAAATAGTGTGTAACTGTGAATATACATCTAGTGTTCACACGTCATCACAACCTTGTAATGCCACATGGCCAACCCAAAAACTTCTAAGCGAGCAATATGTAATTCTAATCACAAGATCAGTTGAATAACCATTTGTCAAGCTTTAACTGAGCTCACTTTACTCTACTCTTGTGTACAGAATCAAGAATTAGTACATTTTTCACCAAATTTCTCTGCAAAACTAAAATTGCTTAAATGCAACCCTATAAGAAATCCACACCACAGAGCACCGGAAGCACTGATGTTACTACTAATAATCCCATTTCCTCTATCCCAAAACCCTTGTGCCTTGACCATGATCAGAGACTAACACTTTTCTGGTAAATAACATGTAACCCAAAACAGCCTATACTTTCTTCAAGCCACAACCAATGTCGATCCAAAGAAAACAATGCAATTGAGACGTAAAGATAACAAACGCGTTACTTTGAAGCTCGCGTATCTTACCTTCCCAGTATGTCCCTGCAAGGTCCTGCAACATACCAGATCCGTGGGTCCAAAAGTAACCTGAGCCCTCCCTTGTGACGTTGCAAATCCAGCAACTACCCAAAAGTCACCAAGAAAGCAAACAGATCTCAGAATTAAGAAACACCCAAAAACACCAAAAACCAGAAAGCAGAAAAATTTTACCATCAGTGTCTAGAAGTTGAAGCCTTTTCTGCTTCAATCGCTCTCTGAGAGTGTTGACGGTCTCAGTCGCCGCCACATGGCGCTCCTTTAGCTCGGCAACAGACATTTTTCTTGTACCCTTTGAGCTTTGATGAACCCTATGAGTTCATATTGAAATCGAAGTAAAGGAACAAGATTTGGGGTCAAATTATGCAGGAAAAAAGTGGGATTGATGAAGTTGGAGGAGGAATGAAGAGGGTGATCATTTAAGGGTGGTGGGGGTGTGGATTTTGAAGGAATTAGTGAAGGTGATAGTTGGGAGATTCTGATTTTCTTAGACTGCGTGGGAGATGGGAAGGGGAGACGTGACAGTGGCTTCTATGGTGTTTTGTGTTGGTAAGGTTTTGATTGAATTAGACTGAGGCCGCCGGACCCACCGCAGTCCGACTCGGCTTCGAACGTGGAATCCCGATCCGGGTCTACACACTCACATGATATTTTTATTTTAAAAATTAAAAATTAAAAATTATTATATTATTATATTATTATATGATATTATAAAATTATAATTATATTATATTTTAATAAAATTATTTTTTATTTTGTCATTTAAATATAATTTATCTATATATCAACTGTAATATTATTAAAAGAAATATCATTTATTTTTGTATTAAAATATTTTTTTGAAGAATTCAATGCAATTATTAAAAAAAGTTTAATTTTATTCTTTTAAAATTTTCATGCACATATATTTTCCTGTTTTAAAGTTATTTATATAATGAAAAAATGAAAAATAGAATGTCATAATAATATTAAAAATGCTTACTTCATAAGACTTTTTAATTTTATTACGAGGTATTCTCTTAATTTATTTTTAATAATTTTAATAATTTTAGTTTAATTTTTTTAATTTCTTAAATATGAATTTTAAATATAAATTTAACATATTATATAAATAATAATTAAAATTTTTAAAATCAAATAAAAATATTTAACAAAAATTATATATAAAAATTTTAATTATTATTTATATAAATTATTAAATTTTAGTTTAAATTTATATTTAAAAAATTAAATTAAAACTATTAAAAATAAATAGAAGTTGTACAATATTGTGTATTCTTTTTGCCTGTCATAAATTAAGCAACAATAGATCTTATTTTACAAAATTTTGCCATACTTTTTTTTTGTTAAAACCTTAATTTGGTCCCTTTACTTTGATAAAAAGTTTTTTTAGTCCCTCTACTTAAAAAATCTTCTTTTTGATGCCTAAAGTTTGAAATCCGGTCTCTTTTAGTTTCTATGTTAAATTTTGATGTTAAATAACAAAAATTTTAAAGAAAATGGATCAAAAAGAGACTTTTTTCTAAAATTAGACTTTTTTTCAAAATAAAATGATTAAATTGGGGTTATTTTTAACTCATTTTTAGTCCCTTTTTGCTTATTTTAGTTTGAAATTTTCGTCATCTAACGTGCCACATATGCAAAACTTAACAGAAAAACTAAAAATGGGTCGGATTTCAAATTTTAAGGACCAAAAACGAATTTTTTTAAGTAAAGGAACTAAAAAATAACTTTTTATCAAAGTAGAAATACCAAAATAGATATTTAACCCTTTTTTTTTTTTTTACTAAAATAAAACGAATGGGGTTTGGTTGTCAAAATTGTAAATTTCCTTGATGTCTCCATCTAAATGGGATTGACCATGTCTAAATATCCAGTGAGGCTGGATAAGTTACTTAGTCCTTACCTAACAAGGCATTAAACTACGACTTTGTAGAGTTTTATGCTATGACTTAAAAAGGAGAGCAAAATCCACAAGTCCCATACACAAGAGGACATTGACTTGCTAATTGTCAATGGGATTGAATGAAAAAAAGACGCATCTATCTATTAGCCTGTTGAGAAATGGTCCAAAAAGTTGGGCAACATTTGTATAACATTGGGCTAAATTTCTGGAAGCAATTATCAAAGTTCACCTACTGTTTTTTACTTTTATAAAGTTTGTAAGAGTAAAAGAATAAATAAATAATTTAATAATATTTTCTTTTTTGTGATAGGTAAGACCGTAAGAGAGTAAGTCAACTGCCCCTCGAGGCAATAATAAAGTTTAACGAAAGAAAAAATTCCGTTGCCGGGAATCGAACCCGGGTCTCCTGGGTGAAAGCCAGACATCCTAACCGCTGGACGACAACGGATTGTTGGTAGATGTGATTTGGTACATTTCTAAATAATATAGTTCGGGTTCCATATTATTATGAAACAGTTTTTACTATGAATCAAACATTCATAATCTTTGATTTCATGACAAATCAGGACCACTTTTTAGTTTATCACAAACCCAACAAATTTGCAAAAAGCATATCCCAGAGAAGTTAAGACATTGTATGCACAATAGGCATCCATCTGATCACCCCCAAAAATTAAAAGAACAGAATAGAACAGAAAGTGTGCAAAAAGAAAAGAAAACATTGAAATAAAGAAATAGAGAACCATTGAGGTTAATATTGAAGTCTGTATACCATGCAAAAAATCAGAATTACCATCAAGCAAAAGTTGTTCTGAAGAACATTTTTGGCCTGAGGCTTCATGTCATGTGCACCCTGAATTGCAAGAATAATCAGTTGCAACTAGTTGGACACTGAAAATGACAAAATCATTTTATTTATATTTTACATTTATAGGATTGGAATCCTGGAAATGGTACATGGTAGAAAATAAACACTTAAGAGAGAACCCATTTCAACAACTAGTCTTTCTCTAACATAATTCCACTTTATCCACAGTTTTTCCCACCTCTGATATATGTATATCAGTTATAAGATAATTGGGGACTGAGAGAACTACACTAATGCATCAAAACTTAAGTATTAAATCTTCAAATGAGACCAACAAAGTACACCACCACCTCTTATTTAATTAATCACTCTATTTATTCAACTTCAAACAAAGTTTTTCCCTGCCTCTTCAGGTGCTCCCACCAGGGTAGATACAATTATTATAACCTGCAGTCACGAAAAAATATCAATAAATCAGTAATGCTTGTCTGAGGAAACCACATGCATATCAGACAAATTATAGTTTCAATTCCAATGTAAAACAGAAATTTTTTGTATAAGAACTAAAGATGTAGCTTGAGTTAAGATGATTACTAGGATTTTGAGACGTTAGTGTCGCAGTTTGTGAGAAATCACAATTCCACGGATTCTTGCCAGCAGTCTGATAGTAGAGGTTCATAGCATAAGCAGCATGTGATGGAACAGTATTTGGTTCAAAACAGACACCACCAGGTTGGATGGGACCGCAATCGATATTTTGGCTACAGGCATAGTCTAGACTTGACTGCAATTGAGCATCAGGAATTCCAGCCTTTGGAACACACCAACCAGTCTGTTTTGGTTGTGGAGATGCTGGACTTGGAGCCTGGAAAAAGCAGGTAGTCAATTTAAACAGAAATCAGATTCATTTAAAAGAAAATTGCCTATCTCTATGCCTCCTTCTTATTACTTGTCAAGAGAAGGCATGAACTAGACCTTGATGGACATGGTTAATCATTTAACTATAGAAAAAAACGTCTCTAAGCTCTCTAAAAGCTTCAAGAAATTCAATACCATTGATAAAGAAAAGCCATTGCCTTCTGGATGAGGCATATGCTTCCACCATTTCTAAGCACCCTTATTACAGTGACAACTTTAAATCTAGATCACGAAAAGGCTAATTTTTCTGTAGTTAAAACTTAAAAAGTGAAGAAACGGTTGTCTCACCTGACCGCTCTTTGATAGGCCAGCATCATATGTCATTGAAAGGTCAGGTTTGAAGAGTCCAAATGCTCTTTCAGAACCAGGACCTGGTTTCAAGTCCTCGTCATAGAGTGCAAAGAGGTATGTATCAACAGATTTTCCAGGCATCAAAGGAGTCCCAACCTTTGATCTCAAATGTGCAACCAAATTCCCATTATATGCCTTTGCATTCTCAACACTGGGCCCAACCTCATTGCTATCCCCTTGGTATGGCCATCCAGTCTCAGCAACCACAATCTCAACATCCTTGAATCCCATTGCACTCAAGGCAGAATGTACAGCATCAACCTGCATTGCATAATTAGTCAGCAAAGCTATTAATTACTAAAGGGCTTTTATGACCAAGGACAAAACAAATTTAAACAAGCTCAGTTGCCCAAGTCATGGATCAATGGTGAATAAACAAACATTCATGTATTACAGTCTTGAGAGGTCCCCCAGATTAACATTCAGTTCCAGAATCCATGTATCAAAAATACAATCATAATTAAACTTAGAGGTGGAGCAGGTTTTGTTCAAACCCTTTTGGATGCCCGTCCACCATGTTGTCCCTCCTTGATTGAGACTAGCATTCTATTACAATTCCCAAATCAAAGATCGGACAAAATACCTAGAATTATTGCAACGGCCAGCCTGTCACCACTCACCAAGCACAAGTAGTCACATCATGTTCACCAAAGTGCCATCAATTATCACATAAAAAGATAAAGTGGGGATCACTAGATCACTTACAATTTTTATTTTATTTTTATTTTTAACTTTGGTAATTGTAGGGGATGGGGATGGGGGAATTTTACAAAGCACGGATGAGGCTAGAACCTCTAACCCAATGGTGCTAACCCAAAAGGCAACGTGCCCTTTTGCCACTTGACCTACACGTGGGGAACACTTACAATTCTTAAATAGAGATCTAAGACATATGCCTTTTTATATTGTGCGTTGATTACACATTCGTTTAGTATATTAGGCAACTCCTTGATACATACATACCTTAGCTATTTTGGCTAGAAAACATGGACAAAATCGTTAGGATATTTTTCTCTTTTCATGCCCAAACCAGCATTAAAATTAGCTGGTCCGGACTGGAGAACAGTTTTCTTCTACTCTATTTAGCTAACTGCAAGACAAAGTTAATGGGTTTTTGTTTTTTAAAAAAAAAGAAATCATCAACAAAGGTAATCGAGCTTAATTAGCTTAGGAAGTTGATTAGACTTGTGTTGTATGTCTGTGAAGAATTCAATATCTATGACGAAACTTAAAAAATTAATTCAATGGGTATGGGTGTCCCAAAACATCACACAAAAAAGACAGAATAGGGGCAAATGGCAATTGCATATTTAATCACATAAAACGTGACATGAACAAAACTTTGACATCCAATCGTAGCAAGACACATGAGGAAGAAACCAATAATTTTAGCCAAAAACAGAAGAAGCAAATGATTTATGAAGCGGAATGGTAGAAGTCAAGTGGGCAAAATCAACACTTGGTAATAAAAAGAAACAAAGAAAACAACAGAAACCAATAGGAAATTGCCTGAAGAAAAATGTGTTCTGGGAAGAACTCATAAGTCAAAAAAGCAGATATCTAACGTATAAAATTGCACTTCTTTAAAATAAAATAAAATAAAGTGAGTCATGCAATCTTAGTAACCCGTGACAGGCCTTAAGGTATGCCATAAGTTATTTGTCCCAAACTACTGTTGTCGGTTGACTTCCACGTCAACCTTTTAATAATTATGGTCGGTCCACTCCTCGCCCAAGCCAAACCTCATTCCCATCAAAAGTTCAAAAACCTACTAATTTACAAGGCTGTGTTTGACAAGAAAGTTTATTTTATGAGTCTCTCCCAACAAGCCAAATATTAACTATTAAAATTAGATGACAAGTGAGACTCTTTGATACTAAAATAATTATTTTATCTAATAATTTAAATTATATAATTTAACAATTTTCTTTTTTAGGGTATGAATGGTTGTTTTCCAGGTGAACAGTAAAAAATAAAAATATTATTAGTAAATTTTAAATATCTATTTTATAATTTAATATAATTTAAATTAAATAAATTACAAAATAATTCTTTCATTCATCTTTATGGATCATTCAATCATTAAATGGTATTTTTTATTAAAAAATTAAAATTAAAATATCATAATACTTTCAATATTAAAATTTTTTATAAAATCATTATTATTATTTTTTGAACAGATTGTCAACGGGCTTCGGAGGAAGCCTCGAGACCCGCCCATGAGTGAGGGAAGAATGCATGTCAAGCTGATTAAATGTTAGTTGACTCGAAAGGTCAGCTGCTTTTTATAAAATTATTTAGCTATTAAAAATAAGTTATTTATATATATTAATTAATTGAAAATTTTTAATATTTTGTTATTAATATAAAATTTTTAATTACAACATCCTTTTTTTGTTTTTTGAGTTTTTCCAAACCCTATACGGATTGTTTTTTAAAGTGCAACACAAGGATGGTAAAACAAAGACATTTCTATTTTCAAAACTTAGCCTAAACAGACATTAGAGCCAATCCAAACCAAACGTGCCACAAGTAAAGATAACATTTAGACAATTTTTTTTTTTTATAAACTCAAAAGTAACATTTAGACTGACCTGAGCATCAAACATGTTCATGTAATTAATCCCAGTCCCTGAGTCGACTCGTCCGGCGTTGGGTTGGAACAGGCAAAACGCAAGCGTTTCCGGTCTCGAGTCACTCTGGTACGCGAAAAACGGGTAGGGGTTGATGGTGAACGGGGACCCGGTATCCTTCTGAAACTGCAGCAACCCCTTCATTATGGGCTGGTAACTCCCGACGAACAAACCGGAGGATGGCGGGTCGGACTGACCCAACACCGCCATCGAGTGAACCGTCGACACCTTGATCTTCCCGCCGAGTCCCGCCGAGTTCAGGGCGTTCTGGACGTTTCGCATCGCGGGAAGAAGCTGGTTTTGTAGGTTTGGATCATTTGTGGTCACAACCTGTCAAAATTAGAAACAATAATTTGGTTTTTAATTTATAATTAAACATTCCCAAGAATCCCATATCTAAACTTATTTAATTATTTTCCATAATTTGATGAAATTTATATTGTAAAACTTTCCCCTGAAGAAATTGCAACAGAAAAAAGTACTCTTACTTTCAGGATTCCATGAAAAATCCAAAAAAGAAGAAAAAAAAGGGATGAACTTTCTTTAAGCTTTTCAAAAAGGGGGGAAATGGAATTTGGTGGTGACCTCATTGCCAACAGTGATAAGGATGATTTTGCTGGCGGGGTAGTACGGCAATACATTGGAGTTGATCCATTGAGTGGCGGAGTTGGGATCGGAGGCCAAACCCGGAATCTCTCCGTTGGCGGCACCAATGACGATTCCGATCCCAGTGTTAGCTAGTGCCTTGATAATAGCAGGATCCGCACCGTACAGTCTGACTTTCTCGATGGATGTGGATTGGAGAAGCTTCGCGGTGGCTGACGGCGACGGCAGATTGTCCGCCACTTGGCCATAGTTCACTCCGAGAAACGACTCTGAACCTTTAAAAAAACAAAAAAAAGAAAAAAAGAAAAGAAAACCCAAAAATAAAAGGGTAAGGAAATTGTTAAATAGCTGTTAGAACTTCCAAGTGAAGCAAGGGATATAAATGAAAATGATGTATGGATAAGGACGTTGAAACTTACTGGAGAAATGGAAGGAGTGGAGGAGAAGGGAGAGGAAGAAGAAGAGAATGGCCATCGGTTGTGTTGGTGGGTGTCGGTCGTAGGAGGTGGGTTTCGAAAGCGATGCTTTTATAAGCGTTTTTTTGTTTTTTTCCAACTTGCATTGGGAAGACGAGATACCAACTTCTTTAATTTTTTCCACACAAGTCATGCAACTCGCAATTTAAAATTTTTCATAGAAAAATATTTTATAATTCTTTAATTTAGAATGTAAAATTAAATTTTAATTTTTTATTTTTATAAAAATATTATTATTAGTGCACTTGACCCGTGTGACCCAGTGGCTAGAGCCACTGAAAAGTGCATATCCCCTCTCCTGGGCGGATTTCGAACCCATCCAT